GGGGCCGTCTTGGGGCCTCTTGGACCGTCTTGAGGGTTTCTTGGGCCTTTCTGGAGCGCTCTTGGGCAGTCTCTGAGCGGTCTTGAGGGTCTCTCGGGCCATCTTGGGGTGATCTTGGGGGCCTCGTGGACCGCCTTGAAGGGTGTGAAAAACGAAGAGGCGGATATGTTAAACATGCGCGCTTTCCTAAGGGAGTGGGGCGATTTTTGCTTGTGGGAGCCCTCTCGGGACGCCGCTAAGGGACCTCTTGGGGCGTCTTGAAGGCCTGTTGGGCCGTCTTGAGGCCATCGTAAGCGCTTGGGGGTGATATTTCGGCGTCTCCCGGCTTTCTTGGACCGTCTGGGGGGTTTCTCGGGCCCCTCTTGGTTTGATTTGGAGCCCTCCTGGGCTCCGAAAAAGAGTTCTTGAGGGTTTCTTGGGCCTTTTTGGAACGCTCTTGGGCCGTCTTTGAGCGGTCTAGAGGGTCTCTCGGGCTGTCTTGGGGTGATTTTGGGGGCCTCTTGGACCGCCTTGACAGGTATGAAAGACGAAGAGGCGGATATGTTAAATATGCAAGTTTTCCTAAGGGACATGGGACGATTTTTGCAAGTGGGAGCCCTCTTGGGGCGCCGCTTAGGGGCCTCTTCGGGACGTCTTGGGGCGTCTTGAAGGCTTGTTGGGCCGTCTTGAGGCCATCGTAGGCGCTTGGGAGTGATATTTCGGCGTCTCCCGGCTCTCTTGGACCGTCTGGAGGGCTTCTCGGGCCCCTCTTGGTTTGATTTGGAGCCCTCCTGGGCTCCGAAAAAGAGTCTCTGAGGGTTTCTTGGGCCTTCTTGGAGCGCTCTTGGGCCGTCTTTGAGCGGTCTTGAGGGTCTCTCGGGCCGTCTTGGGGTGATCTTGGGGGCCTCTTGGACCGCCTTGAAAGGTGTGAAAGACGAACAGGCGGATATGTTAAAAATGCACGTCTTCCCCAAGGAATGGGACGATTTGTGCTTTTGGAGCCCTCGTGGGGCGCCGCTTGGGGACCTCTTGGGGCGTCTTGAAGGCCTGTTGGGCCGTCTTGAGGCCATCGCAGGCGCTTGGGAGTGATATTTCGGCGTCTCCTGGCTTTCTTGGACCGTCTGGGGGGTTTTTCGGGCCTCACTTGGACCGTTTGGAGCCCTCCTGGGCCCCGAAAAGGGACCTTGCCGGGAGTCTGCCGGGGGTCTGCCGGGAGTCAGCCGGGACCTTGTCGGGACCCTTCCGGGGCACTTTTCGTCCGGGGACCCCCAGGGCCCGCCCCGCGCGCGCGAATTAGAAATTTTGTTGAGCAGTTACCGGAGATCTTAGCACGCCTCTGGCCCGTTGGGCCGGCGAATTGTCTGGATGCCCATCCAGGGCTGCGCTCAGGAAATAGGGGCAGAGATCAAGGATGATGGACTGGAGAGGACGGAGTGTGATGGAGGCAGAGGAAAGCGGGCGGGGGGAGGACGGATGTTGCAGGGGGTCGAGGGAGGATGGGAAGGAGTAGCGACGTGGAGAGATCGAGAACGGTGAACGGGAGTTCGACCAGATGGCGGAGGAGAAAAAGGAAGAGGGGGGAAAGTGAGGAGGAGGAGGAGGAGGAGGAGGAGAAGGAGGAGGAGTGAGGAGTGAGGAGTGAGGAATGAGGAGTGAGGAGTGAGGAGGAGGATGAGGATGAGGATGAGGATGATTGATGAGGTGAGGAGTAGGAGGAGAGAGGAGGAGGGAGGAGGAGGAGGAGGAGGAGGAGGAACACTACTAATAGTAGTCACCATAATAACATGAGCCATACCAGGAATACTGGCATCAAAACGAATAACAATATCATTACTAGTAGTAATAATAAGTTCACGAAGAAGATTAATCGTTACATGAAGAATAATATCTGTACTGTTAAGAATCGTATTCTGATTATTTCTAATAAAAGGAGGAGAGGAGGAGGAGGAGGAGGAGGAGGAGGAGGAGGAGGAGGAGGAGGAGGAGGAGGAAGAGGACCAGTGCCAACCCAGGAGTCATCAACGATGTTGGAATAAACCCTCCTTCCAAACTCCCCCTCAATAGGCCCCACGCGCGGTCCATTTCCATCGAGGGAACTGCCTCGTTGGAAGACAACCGGTTGAAGACCCTGCATTCTTCTCGGGATACCAGCGTTACGGATCAACCTGATTGTTGCGTCTTGACGATTCTGAATCGTAGCATAACGCCATTCTTTGGACGTCAACATCGCGAACCAACGTAACCGTTGCACCCGCATAACCCAGAATCCTTCCAACCCTCCATTTCTGGTACGTTGGTCATGGGAATCCGTGATTTTTCTTCAAAGGATTTTAACGAATGTGCGCGGCGCTAAGGCGAGAGCCACATTTTGGAAAGGAACCGCCCTCAATCTGTGAAGCTCTTGCACATCTTGAAAACAACTGTGCGCGGCGCTAAGGCGAGAGCCATGTTTTACAAATGGTTCACCCTCAATCCGTGAAACTTTTGTAAGTTGTAAAACGAATGTGCGCGGCGCTATGGCGAGATCCACATTTTGAAAACGACCCGCCTTTCACCTGTGAAGCTGTTGGCTTCAGAGTCATAAACGGTGAGGACGTCTCAGGCAAAACGCCCGGTCCGCCCTAAAAACTGGCCTCGGGGTGCGACAGGGAGAAAGTTATTTGTAAGGAAAAGGTATGGATGATGATGATGATGATGATGATGATGATGATGATGATGATGATGATGATGATGATGATGATGATGATGATGATGATGATGATGATGATGATGATGATGATGATGATGATGATGATGATGATGATGACGACGACGACGATGACGATGACGATGATGATGATGATGATTATGAGGAGGAGGAGGAGGAGGAGGAGGAGGAGGAGGAGGAGGAGGAGGAGGAGGAGGAGGAGTAGGCTCGGAGTAGGAGGAACGATGACGAAAAGAACAGTGAGGTCGAGGCGCAGGGGAAACCGAGGATGAAGGCCCCCCATACACCACCCCAGAATCCCCTTTCGGGGCCCCAGGACGGTCAACAGTGGGATATTGTTCTCCCGGGGAAAGCTCTCGGGTCGTCTGGGTCCCGTTTTTTCCTCAGGACCCACTTCCCTGACGCCCAGTCGCCATCAGGAGAGGACACGATGGGTGTCCCAGGGTGTACGGAGACCAGCGCCTCCGATGTCTTGTCTGTTTCAATACGTGGGCCCCAGAGGTCTCGATACTTTGCCTGGAGGCAGCTGTTCGTCCCTGGTCCATGCCAGATGGCCCCGGGTCCCGGAAGTGGCCCCCGGCGGCCGACGAAGTCAGTCCGCACGACGCCTGGGCTTTTTCGGTGGCAGAGGCCTGCCACGGAGGAACGCACAGATGGGGGAGGCTGCAGGGGGGATGCGTAGATGCGCACATTTCTGCAAGTCGCATCGCCTGGTCTGCTTCGCGTCCCGCTGCAGAGAGCTCCGTGGCAGAGGCCTGCGCCTTCTACTGCATCTTCCACGTGTCGGACTGGGGGGCCAAGTGCGACTGGTCCGGCTGCGGCGGCTGCGAGCGGTGCGGGGCCCCGGCGCCCGCCAGGAGCGGCGAGGAGCCCCCCGCTTCGGCGGAGCCCGAGGCGTGCTACGACACCTCGGAGGGTGAGCCCTGCTACCGCGCCATCCAGTGGGCGATGAGCAAGGCGGGGGGGGGCGCCAGCTGCGTATTCCTTCACCGATCCCCTGGCTGAGCCGATCCACGGCCGTGGGGTCGGTGTGCGGGCCTTCCTGGACAAGCCAGGCGGGCGTCTGCACTGGCCCCGGGCCGGGTGTGAGAGCCTGGGCAGGGCCGGTGCGGGCATACGGATGCCGCCGTCCCACGAGGGCGTGCCGCAGCACCCCGAGTGGTACAGGGACCAGGGGGAGCAGAACTGCCTTGGGCCCCTCGCGCCGCGGAACATTCGCGACATCATGTTTTTGCAATTTTTCAGCCTTTGGGTACCCGGCCCTGGTCCCGTCGGAAAACAACTCCAGAAGAAACAACTGACCTCCAGGGGGGTTCAGGCTATGAGCAAATCACGGCGTCGAGGGTCTAGGAGGGGTTGGGGAGTTGGGTCGCCCACTCGCGTTCCGCGCCTTCGCGGTCTGGCCAAGAGAGTTACTCTTCTCCAGATAGTTTCAGCAACATCGCGAAGCGCGAAGTGCGACAGCTAGGCAGCTGCAGCACGTCTACCCTGCATCCCTGTCCGTTCTGACCATCTTTGGTCAACTGCTTGGGTCCTTGCCGCTCTGCCCTGTGTCCATGCCACCTTGTCACCCTGCCTTGCGTCCTTGCGTTCTTGTCGCCGTGCCTTTCCTGCTCTCTAGTTCGGCCGGGTGGCCACAATCTGCTTCGCGCGACAGCGTTCGTTTCTGCTGCCCGGCGCGTTCCTCGGTGCACAGGCGGGCCTGGGCGGCCCAGAGGGCCCGCGGCCGTTGCGAAGTTCCGCCCATTCCGGCGCAACTTATCACACCGTCACACGTTTTGTGCCCCAACGGGAGTTCCACCCACGGCATCAGTTGGTGCGTTCGCATGCCGCCGCCCGCTCATGACGGCACCCACACACACATTTTTGCGTCGGCGGCTAGGCAGAGTGATTGCGCTGGCGTTGGGGCGTTGGAAGATGAACGAAAGCGAATTCGACCACCATGCAGAGGGGGGAGGGAGGATGCGCCTGGCGACGGCGGGAGGGAGGAGGAAGCCAGGCCCGCCGGGGGGTGGGGCTCAGCGGCGGCGAGGCGGCGGCTGGAAGGGGGGGGAGCCAGCAAGGCGGGCTGCTGGCGGCAGGGCGCCCTGGGGGGAACAGTGCCCAGCGGAGGCTGGTGACGAAGGCGAATGCAAGAGTGCCAGTGGGCCGAGGGTGCCGAGGTCACACGTGACCTGCGAAGGCGACAGGGGGGCGGCGGCCAGAAAACCAGGCAATGCGGAGCGAGGCGGAGTGGGGCGCGGGCGGCAAGGCCAGCTCAGCTCCAAGGCAGGCGTGCGGCAGGAGAGCCGAAAGGTCCTGCTGGAGGTGAGAACGGGGGGGGGCACCGAACTGGTGTACTTCAGGTAGACGGAGAACCCACGGCGAGGAGCCGGGCGGAGGGCTCAGAAGAGCGGCGCAGTCAGCAGCCGAGACCGGCGTGGCCAAGATGGGGCACATCGAAGTGTAAGGCGCCAGGCGACTCCGAGCTGGGGGCGGCGGAGCGCGGGGCTCGGGGGGCGAGGAGCCAGAGCAGCCTCTGGTCCGCGGCACCCCAGGCGGGTGGCAGCGGATGCGGAACGAGAAAGCGCACCCTCCCGGATGGGAAGGCGGTGGGCGGGGCGTGGGCGGCAAGACCAGCCCAGTGCCCAGAGCCCAGAGGGGCGGCGGGCGAGCCGGATGGCGGGCAGGCCGCAAGCAGGGGCAGCGAAAGCGAGCAGCCCCGACCAGGGGTACTCTCACAGGCGCCGCCGGCCGAGGGCGGGCCGCGGAGCAACGCCAACCGGAAGGACTGGCGCCGCAGCGGGCGGGGCCACTAGGCGGTAGGCCGGAGGCAGGCAACAGGCTCCCGCCGCCAACAAAGGCCAGGGCGTCCCACGACCACTGGCGTGGAGGCAGGGGCGATGCCATGCGGGGCAGTCCAGCGCCCTGCGGGCGCGGGCGATGGAACGCACGCGGTTGCCGTCCCGGTGCCAGCAAGGCGACCGCCGCAGGGGCCGGGGGGAGGACATGTGCGCAGGTGGGACGAAGGGGGGGACGCACCGAACTGGTGCATTGTCAGTGAGATGTGAGCGGTCCGGCCCCTCGGGAGGGGAAGCTCTGGGGGATAGGCGAGTAACCGTGGGGGGCAGCAGCTCGACCCCAGTCAAGGCTTACGCTGCGGCGCGGTTGGGGTCGGCCGGGAGCCATGGGGCGCGGCTGGGAACGGCTCGGGCCGTTCTGGTTAGTAGCGGTTGGAGCTGCTGGGACGCCGCTGCCCGGAGTGTTCGTTGCTGGGCCAGGCATAATCGGCGCGCCGCTTGCCCTTCCCGTGTGGCTCACGGTCTTCTCCTTCCCCTTTGCCGAGCCCCGGCCCGTTGCCAGTTGATTTGGGCTCCCATCCTCCAGCATAGGTTGCGGACGTCGAAGTCAGCGTCGATGAGCTGGGCTGCGAAGTCTTCGCAGGCCTGCTCCCCCTTGGCAGCTGGGTCGTGCGGTGATCCCTGGCGCCCTGCCTGGTGGTCGCAGACGGCATTCAAGCCGATGACTAGCATGGGGCCGCGTTCCCGTTTGAGGCGATTGACGACCTCAGGCCAGATCTCCGTCCTTCTGGCGGTGTAGTTTCAGACTGGATGTCAGTATGTGGCCTGTCGCGGCTTGTTGTGCAGCTAGTCATGTGGATTGTGGTGAGGGGTGTAGCGACCTGGCCGGTGGGCCGCTCGGTGGGCGCGGTCGGGTGAGTTCTTCCTCGTGTCCTTTGCGGGGGGAGAGGAGCAGGCGGGACGTGCACCATAGTCCGCTGGGTTCTGCGGGCTGCTCCCCGACGTGCGCTGGTGAATTGGGCGCGGGGGGGCAGCTTCGCCAAGGGTGCCACAACCTGCGTTGGTGACTGGCTCCTGTGAGGCGGGCGGCTGGGGGCCGCGAGCCCGAGCGGGGCTGGGCGGGCGGGGGCTGTTTGGGCCCGCGGGTGGCGGCTGCGCGGCTGCTGGTGGTCCAGTGCGCGGTTCGGCTCCGCTTGGGGCCGACGAGCCATCGGGGGTGGCCCGTGTTGTGGTCGTCCGTCCGTGCTTTGGAACCGCCAATCTTGTTGTGGATGGACCGTTGCCGTCTCCGTCCCGTCCGCGGGTCGTACCCGGCTAGCTGGGGCGCGTGCATGTCGTGGATGTTTACCGACTCAAGGTAGTTAGCCGACCAGCAGCTCCCGGCTGTACCGGTTGGGGTCTCGTCCTTTCTGATTTGCCTGCTGCCTGTACGCTGAGGTCGGGCCTGTCCCTCTACAGGAGGAACATTCAAAGATAATTAAACATAGCCTGGGGACGTTTTTTGTGTGATTATTTGGGGGTAATTTAGCATCTATTTTTCATTTTTCGTCCCAAATCCGCCTGTAGGGGGACATGCCCGACCTAACGGTACGCGTCCCATAGATCAGCCATGCTGCGGTCGCCTGTGGGTGCGGGGTGATACCGCTGGCTGTGTAGGTAGCTGACGAGGTTAGCCAGCGCGGCGTGCTTGCCGTCACAAGCCGTGCGGAGCGAGGACACTCACAGACACGCTTCACACGTTTCGAGGGCTCGCAGGGAACCCCACCCGCTGCGTTAGTGCGTTTGCATTCCGCCCCACCCATTTCGGCACATTGCTCGGACGTTTCGTGCCCGAATGGGAGCTCCAACGACGCCGTCAATTGGTGCGATCGCATGCCGCCCCCTGCTTGACTCGGTACACCCTTCACACGCCTCGTGCCCCACAGAGAGCTCCACGTATGGCGCCGATTGGTGCGTTCGCATGCCGCCCCCGCCTATTCTGGCACAGTCTTCGCACGTTTCATGCACCCAATGCGCCCAGACTGCGGCCCTAGTGGGTGCGTTTACATGCGGTCCTCACCGCTATTTCGGCACACCCCTCAACCGTTTACCGTGCCCCGCAGGAAGCATCACCTTGGGCCCCACTGCGTGCGTTCGAATGCCGCCATCGCTCATTGCGGCACACCCCTCACACGTTTCGTGCTCCACGGAGAGCTCCACCTACGGCCCCAGTTCCCAGTAGGAGGGCCCGCATGGCGGCGCCGCCCCTTTCCGCGCACCCTTCGCGAGAGTCGTGGCCCCAGTGGGAACTTCGCCTACGGACCCAGTGGGAGGGTCCGCATGGCGGCGTCGTCGATTCCTGCACGCCCCTTACGAGGACTGTGACCCCCGCAATGCCTCGAGCTCCATTCGGTTCGCGGCGCGCTGCCCATGGGGAGGGTGCCACGCCCTGCGGTACTCGCAGCTCCATAGGCTTGGGCCCGTCGCCAGACTATCTGCGCTACTGCTATAAGCACATCTGCTTATGCAGTTTGTAGCATGTAGATATGTCTATGCATACGTGTATGTAGTTGTACGTAAATTTACTTGTGCGTATATTCTCCAGACAGTGCTTGCACTTAGGGTTTCTTGCTTGGCTTAACCATCTCGGGGTAGTGGCGGCTTTTGCGGGCGGTGCCGCCCGTCGCCGCCGTCGCCGTCGGCGTCGCTGTCGCCGCCGCTTGGGGCGAGTGGCGGCTTTCGCGGGCGGTGCCGCCCGTCGCCGCCGTCGCCGCCGTCGCCGTCGCCGCTGCTCGGGGCGAGTGGCGGCTTTTGCGTGCGGTGCTGCCCGTCGCTGCCGTCGCCATCGCATAGATTCTCCTTTCTAAAAAGAGAATAAATTCTTGACGCTTCGCGTATCCCCACCAGCCCATCCAGAAACGACGCCCAGGCGAGTAGAGGTGATCATGGAAGCGGGGCAGCATACAGAGGAACAAGGGGCTGGGGAGGCCGTCGTACCCCAAAGCGGGTGGGAGGGATGGAGGAGAAGTCGGAGGCGGAAGAGGAGGAGGATGATGAGGGTGGGGAGGGAGGAATGAGGAGGAGGAGGAGGAGGAGGAGGAATAGGCGGATGATGATGTTGATGTTGATATTGATGATGCTGATGATGATGATGATGATGATGATGATGATGATGGTGGTCTTGACGATGGTGATGGTGATGGTGATGGTGATGGTGATGGTGATGGTGATGATGATGATGATGATGATGATGATGATGATGATGATGATGGTGATGATGGTGATGGTGATGGTGATGGTGATGGTGATGGTGATGGTGATGATGAGGGGGAGGAGGAGGAGGATAAGGGCGATCAGAAGAGTCAAAGGCCTCTTGAATGCCTCGCGGAGTCTCTTGGGATGTCTCTTGGGATACTCTTT